CCGGTTCGTTCCTTTACTTCATTCTGTGCCTTTGTTTTCTGGTAACTGGTTGTCATCCCATTTCCCAAGCACAGACCAGCAGGGGGTGCCAGTGCCCGTGCAGAGACCATCAACTCCCAGAGCTGCCTGGGGAAGAACTGCCATAGGGAAGGGCCTGCTCCTGACCACCCCCAACAACAGTTTCCTTTATGATGAGGGGCACCTACTGGTTCATAACCTGGCTCTGTGGCTGGACAGAGCCCCTGAACAAAGGACTTCATCTCCATGGTTGCAGTTTTTACAGCTGTGAAAGGGGACAGGGGAAACAGACCTCCCAGGGGAACTGGCACGATAAAATGAAGCAAGTCATGAGACGGCTTCTAGCACAGTCCCTGGCACTTAATTCTTAGTTAAACTTCCATTCTTTTTGTTTTGCTTTGCAGGCTGGAGTGCAGTGGCACAGTCTCAGCTCATTGCAACCTCCGTCTCCTGGGTTCAAGCGATTCTCCTGCATCAGCCTCCCAAGTAGCTGGGATTACAGGCGCCCCCACCCCACATCTGGCTAATTTTTGCATTTTTAGTAGACACAGGGTTTCACCATGTTAGCCAGGCTGGTCTTGAACTCCTGACCCCAGGTGATCTGCCCACTTCAGCCTCCCAAAGTGCTGGGGTTACAGGCATGAGCCACTGTGCCTAGCTGAATTTGCATTCTTTGTCAAGAGATGTTTAGTCAATCTCGAAGGCCTCTCTTTTCAGATTCTGCCCAAATCACATGAATCATTTTTTGGACTTGGCTGTCTCACTCCTTTTCCTCCACCCTTTTATGTCTTTATCAAGTCTTCCCTCTGTACTTAAAGAGCACTCCCCACCAGTCTAGCCATCACCCTCAGGCCCACTATAAACTATACAGAGGGCCCAATTCAAAAGGCCCTCCTACACAGGGGGCTCCTTTCACTTCAAAACTGCAGCAGGCCAAGTGTAAATTCAAGACACTGCCTTTGCTTGTATATTTCCACTGTCTTCCAGCCTAAAACCCAGCCAGTCCTAACACTGACTGACTGCCCATGTATGTTACATAAGACCCCATGCTGGGCAGGGATACTGAGATAAGACACAATCACGCATCACTGGAAGCACCTCCAACAGAGACAGAGATGGCAACAGACGATTTCAGAAGAGCTTATGTGCCTGTCTACAGACATCCAGTCTCAGGAGGGAAAACCTAATTCAGTTCCCAAGAACCTACCGGTACCACTCTTCGAAGGAAAAATGGTCTCCACTTCACAGACTGACTTTGAAGGCCAAAATCAGACAGGAACCGGCAAGACCAGGACTGGACCCCAGGTTTGGCTGACATCACTATCTCCCTTATCACAAGGAGGCAGAGGCCCCTTGAAGATGTCCTTTTGCATGAGCTCCAAAGTATCTGGTAAATGTAGGTCATTATGGCTAAAAATGCATTTTCCCCCTTGTCCTTGCAGCTGCTCTGTAAGTTTGGGCTATAGCCTGATGTTCAGCTGCACCAGCCCTAGCCAACTGCTGGTCAACAGATCACAGGGTTGTGACCCTTGGAATTGGAAGGCATTCTACACACAGTGTCTCTTCCAGGTGCTTTTTCTCATCAACTATTAAACCACAAACAGGCCAACTGACAAAGCACACAGTTCCTTCACATGTTCATTCCTTCCCCCTCCCGCTTCGCCTGATGCAGAAATATTTGTCAGTCAAACGTGAACATTACAAGAATATGCAACAGAAAGAATTAGAGAACTCAGCAATCCAAAAGCTGCTAAATGAGGGTTTTCTGCATTTTTTGGGGTAATGTAAAGCAGTTCCAAGAAAAGTGAAGTCACAGCCTCTGCAGCTTATTTTCAGTTCTTAGAAAAGGGCCAGCGTCGAAGGGGAAGCGGCTCTGCCCTAGCACACAGACTCCATTGTCTGGTGGGGGGCGTTTGCTGATAAAGCAGCTTGGATTTGGCACCAGAAACCCAAAACGTCTGACATGTTTTCATTTGGTGATGTCAAGGAGGAAACACAAGCCGAAGCAGTGAAAGTTATTAACATTCAGAGAAACCACACAGCTCAGTTAACACACTGGGGTGACACCCTTCCAGCACTGAGCCACCAGCAGTTTTGAGGGGACTGTCAGAAAAAACACAGTAGCCTCCTTTTCCTACCCCACACCCACCCCCCACGTTCCTGAGATGTGTCATCACTCAGGCCACCATGTCAGTCCAACCAGCATTTTTCAATGGACATTATTTAGCAGAAGTTGCGGGAGGACAAACGGGGCAGGATATGGTACAGGTGGTTTTTGGCAGCTTGGGTCTGCTTTCTGGCATACAAGCAGGTTTCGCCACAGCAGGCAGACCTCAGGTTAAGATCTCGGGAGTCTACTACACATCCAGCGCGGGGGCTACTACCGGATGCCCTGTAATAATTTGGTGAATGAGGTTTGCATTTTTTTTTTTTTTTTGAGACAGAATCTGGCTTCATCTTCCAGGCTGGGGTACAGTGGCACGATCTCAGTTCACTGAAATCTCCGCCTCCTGGGTTCAAGAAATTCTCGTGCCTCAGCCTCCAGAGTAGCTGGGATTACAGGTGCGTGCCACCATGCCTGGCAAATTTTTTTCTATTTTTAGGAGAGGCGGGGGTCTCACTATGTTGCCCCAGCTGGTCTCCAACTCCTGGCCTCCAGTGATCAGACCTCCTTGACCTCCCAACATCGAGTGACCCAGCCAGGGAGAGTGCCTAAGGAGACATGACGATGAAGTGGAATTCAGTGTCCCAGATGGAACACTGGAACAGGAAAGGACATTAGGAATAACCCCAAGAAACATGAATGAAGTACAGACTTGGGTTAATAAAAGCATCTCAGTATTTGTTCATTAATTTTAACAAATGCACCATACTAATGTAGATGTTAATAAGAGGGGAAGCTGGGTACAGGTACATGGGAACTATTTGTACTGTCTCTGCAATTTCTCTGTCTCTCCGTCTCCCTCTCTCTCTCTCTCTCTCTCTCTCTCTCTGTGTGTGTGTGTGTGTGTGTGTGTAGACAAGCAAGAATGTACTGATCCTCGCAACAATAATGATTTGGTGCCTACCAAGTGTCACATACCATGTAAAAGTGATCTACACATATCTTCATTTATTCCTCACACTAGTGCTATGAGCTGGGCATAATCTGCATTTTACAGATAAAGACACTGAAGAACAGAGAGGCTAGGTACCTTGCTCATAGTTACACGGCAAGGTTAGTGGCAGATAAAGGGCTCAAATTGACAGAATAGCTCAGCGATATTGCCTCAAAAATCCCAAACTGTGAACATAAAACAGTTCAAAACAAGCTTCACGTGGGCAATGAAAACAAGGCACAGCTTCCAATCTGCCCTGCTTTAAAAAGAAAAGAGTTTAAAAGCACAGCATAGGCCAGGCACAGTGACTCACACCTGTAATCCCAGCACTTTGGGAGGCTGACGCAGTCGGATCACAAGGTCAAGAGATTGAGACCACCCTGACCAACATGGTCTACTAAAAATACAAAAAATACAAAAAAATACAAAAAAAAATTAGCCGGGCATGGTGGCATGCGCCTGTGGTCCTAGCTACTTGGGAGGATGAGGCAGAAGAATCACTTGAAGCTAGAAGGCGTAGGTTGCAGTGAGCCGAGATTGAGCCACTGCACTCCAGCCTGGTGACAGAGCAAGACTCCGTCTTAAAAAAAATTAGCTGGGTGTGGTAGCATGTGCCTATAGTCCCAGTTACTCGGGAGGCTGAGGAAAGGGAACCGCTTGAACCCAGGAGGTGGAGGTTGCATTGAGCCCAGATCACCACCACTGCCCTCCAGCCTGGCAACGCAGTGAGACTCCATTTCAAAAAACAAACGAACAAAAACCACAGCACAGCCAAGAAGACACTGGCAACACTGAATGCTGGAGAGGATGTGGAACAGGAACTCCCCTTCATTGTTGGTGAGAATGTAAAAGCAGTCTGGCACTTTCTACAAAGCTAACCATAGGTTTACCATATGGCCCAGCAATCGCACTCCTAGGCATTTACTCCAATGAGCTGGAAACTTAACACCCACACAAAACCTGGCCATGAATGTTTACAGCAGCTCATTCACAGTTACCAGAGTGGAATCAAGTAAGATGTCCTTCAATAGGTGCATTAGATAAAACTATGGTACATCCATACGATGCAACATTATTCAGTGATAAAAAGAAATGAGCTGGCCTGGTGTGGGGACTCATGCCTGTAATCCCAGCACTTTGGGAGGCCAAGGCAGGAAGACCGCTTGAGCCCAGAAATTCGAGCCTGGGAGGTCCTGCCTGTAGTCCCAGCTCCTCAGGAGGCTGAGGTGGGAGGACTGCTTGAGCTTGGGAGGTTGCGGCTGCAGTGAGCCATGATCCTGCCACTATACTCCAGCCTGGATGACCTCGGTGACCGGGCAAGGCCCCATTTTAAAAAAACAAAAACACCACAAATCAATCAATCAATCAATCAATCAGCCAGGCGTGGTGGCACACAGCTATAATCCCAGCTACTCAGGAGGGTGAGACAGGAGAATCACTTGAACCTGGGAGACGAAGGTTGCAGTGAGCAGTTATTGCACCATTGTACTCCAGCCTGGGTGACAGGCTGAGACTCTGTCTCAAAAAAAAAAGTCCCTAGGGAATTCTTCAGGTTTCTATCTTATAATAAACATGGGCATTTATTTAAAAAAAGAGAAAAAGAAAAAGAAGCAGCTAATAAGCTGCAAAAAGACATGCAGGAGTTCAGAGACAGGGGCTCACACCTGTAATCCCAGCACTTTGGGAGGCTGAGGTGGGAGAATTTCTTGAGCCCAGGACTTTGAGACCAGCCTGGGCAACATGGCAAAATCCTGTCTCTACAAAAAATACAAAAAATTAACCAGGCATGGTGATGCACACCTGTAGTCTTAGCTACATGGGAGGCTGGGATGGAAGGATCACCTGAGCCTGAGAGGTTGAGGCTGCAATGAGCTGTGATTGTGCGCTTGCACTCCAGCCTGGGTAAGATTAAGAAAAAAAAAAAAAAAAAAAAGACATGGAGGAATCTTATATGCACAGCAAGTTAAGGAAGCCAGTCCGAAAAAATTACACACTGTATGATCCAACTATATATTCTGGAAAAGGCAAAACTGAAAAAGAAAGATCAGTGATTATCAGGGTAGGGGGGAGGGGTTAACAAGGGGAACCCAGAGGATTTTTAGGGGAGTGAAACTATTCTGGATGATACAGTAATGGTGGATACATGTTATTATGCATTTGGCAAAATCCACAGAGTGTATAAGAGGAAGAATGACGCCTAATGTAAACTAGACTTTAAAAAATGTAATGTTGGTTTATTAAATGTATCATCCTAATAAAAGATGTTGGTTCACAGGAGGAAAAACTGGGAGAGTGGCGTGTGAGTGTGGAGTATATGGGAACGCTGTAGTTTCTGCTCCATTTTTCTGAAAACCTAGAGCTGTTTTTTTAAAAGTCTATTAAAAAAAAAAAAAAACCCATACAGCATATTAAACAATTTATTAGAGGTAGAATATCAATAATCCAGGCAAAAGTCTATAACCACGTCAGAACATAATCTAACTCCCTTGATATGTCCAATCTCGAAAAATCAGGCATGGGTACTAAGCAGACAGCAGAAACCCAACATTCAAATCACAGCGAAGTCATTCCATACAAAAAGACAAAAGAACGCTAAGCCAGGAGGCTCGCCATGTCGCGCCCAAAGTTATGAGGCAGAAGTTTAGCTAAGGCCTAAAAGGCATCCTTAATCTTGATGTTTTTCATTTCAACAAGAAATTCTGAAAACGTCTCAAAATCTGAGTGATGGAAGAAGGTATCAAGCCAAGGGAAATGAATAGAGCCAAGGGAAATGAATAGAGCGGTGTCTAAATGTTTGAGTGGTGTCCGAAGCAGAAAGGGAGCTGTTGTCTTTTGGGGCCGCCGAGCCTGCTGTTAGGAAATGCCATTTGACTTGCAAACTGGTTATGGTAGTTGCTGATGAAGAAGATGAGGAGCCATGATGTCATTCCTTTTTTACACAGTCTGTCTTCCTGCCCATAACCACACTTCAATTACCAAGGGCAATGACAGATAAATTTTGCATTGTAAAACAGGGATGCAGCAGTAATGGAAAAAGTATCACCATGCATAAAATTTGGAAAATGCAACATAAGACCTCTGTGTCTGAGAGAAAGAGAGAGAACTGACACCAGGAAGAAAAAGCATCTGCTTTTCATCAGCAAATACAGGCAAAGCAAGGGGCAGCAGAGGCTATCACTGAAGTATCCCAGGATTTAAACATTCCTCCATCCAGACTCCTCAGTCAACCAAAGCAAGGCTCTCTAAGAAACTTTTGAAAAATACGCATTGAAAAACAGCCATGAAATCCACATCATTATCACCTTTAAATCGTTTCAGGATTTTGGTTGTTTTTAACGACAGTTCCAATATCATCTAAGGAATATACCTGTGTAAATCTTCCGCTTCCAGTTCCCACATACTTTCACGGATGGGATTATCAGAAAGATGTGATCTTCACAGCCTACAGGCGTGGCTCGGGGCTGCAGGCCTGTACCATTCCCATCACCATCACGTACTTTCCTAGAAAAAGAAGGAAACCCATAGTAATGTTCTTTTTTTTTTTTTTTTTTTTTTTTTTCAGACAGTCTCATTCTGTTGCCTAGGCTGGAGTGCAGTGGCGTGATCTCGGCTCCTTGCAACCTCCGCCACCTGGGTTTAAGCGACTGTTGTGCCTCAGCCTCCTGAGTAGCTGAGATTACAGGTGTCTGCAACCATGCCTGGCTAATTTTTGTATTCTTAGTTGAGACAAGGTTTCACCATGTTGGCCAGGCTGGTCTGGAACTCCTGTCCTCAGGCAACCCACCCACCTCGATCTCCGAAAGTGCTGGGATTATAGGTGTGAGCCACCGTGCCTGGCCATCTTCTTTGGTTTCTGATTTTACTAGGCCAAACAAAACCGTCACATAAACTGTAATCATGCCCAAGGAATGGAAGAGACACTCCCATCACAGTATGAGTTCTAATTAGACAGGCTGCTCTGAGGCAGGGGCAGAAAACCTCGGCTTTCCTCTAATCCCGTTCCTTGCTCAAAGCTACAGAGTATGTGACTAGTCTCTGTGCACAGGACACATCCTCTTTCTGCAGACACCCTCTGACAGTTACCAAGCAAATCCAATTTTCCCTCCATGTTGCCTGAAAGGCTGGGCAGGCAGCCCCTTCCCCACTGTTGCAACTGTTGGGACCTATCCCTGCCACTTCCAGCACATACAAGCAAATCCACACAAGGGCAGGCTGCCACCCGGATGAACTAATGACATATTAACTGTGACAATCACTTCCCATTCCCTTGGGGAAGTGACTCTCCTTCAAAGCAAAACTTGGCCAGTCTCAACCACACAAAACCCAATTGTGTAAAAGAAAACTCCAAACACTGCAGGAAGGACAGGCCTGGTGCCAGCCTCACTGCCTGCCCCTATGAGGCTGCTTCCACTGCACTGCATGTGGGGCCTGAGGCTTTGAGCAGGAGGCCAGGCAAGCTGACCCCTGACCCTGCCATTCAATCTCAGGTAGGATGTGCTCAGGTTTCTCAGAGCTCCTCCCCACAATCCACTTGGGTATCTCAGTGAGAGGCTAGTTCTGAAAATGCACTTACTGTCCCCTCTAAATGGGCTTAAAGTACTGGTGGGGCTAGAACCCATAGAATTAGAACTGAAGGCCCAGGAAGAGAAGAACAAGCCCAAAGACATTCCGACCAGGAGAGGGGAACAGGAGCTCTACTAGGAAGGCACACACAGCCAGCCAGATGAGCTCAAAGGCATGCGATGAGACAAACTGGCCCTGTAGGTTCTACCCACACCCTCTCCCACTCCAAAGCAGCTCTCCGCTCTGTCCCTCCCTCTCCTTTCCGCATCCCCACCCCCAGTTGCCATGACCACTGCAATGGTTCCCAGCCCATGTTCTGCCAGCTTCCTCCACTTCAAAACCACTCCCACCTCACAGCTGCAGTCACCATTCTCGAATCCACCTCCTGCCTCCAGAACTCAGTTGATCACAGCACAATCTAGGTAAGTGTGGTTTCTGTGCTTCTCCTGCACACAAAGAGCAGCTTGAGGACAGGGAGAGCTTCTCATCCAGCTCAGCATTTTCAGCCCCTTCGGTTTATGGAAACAAACTCCCGGAAGTTCCAGAGAAAGAGGCAGTGGAGGAACAGCACTAGAGCGGCAGTGCAGTGAGCAGAGCTCAAGGCCACCTTGAAGCAGGCAGGTCCTTCCAGACAGCCACTGAAACTCATCAGGATAGAGCCCTCCTTCCTTCCACCGCTGCCCCAGCCAGGCTCCCCAAATGCATGAGTCTCTATCCCCTCCAAGCCTTTGCACAGGCTGTTCCATGAAGCTGCATAGTCTCCTGCCACTGCACCCGGACAGAGTGTCCTAGTTTTAACACTTAAAGTCCCATGTCCCAGGACCCTCTCAGTCCCAGGCAACTGCGGAGGGTTGGTCCTTACAGGCAACTCCAGTGCAACCTTCAGGGCTACCTCTTCCAGGAAGCCTTCCCTGAGCCCTTAAGCCTGGATCAGCTGTCCCTCGTTTGCGCCACCTGGCTCTTGCCTGCAACGTTACTTTGTGTTTTAGTGGCCTGCTTACCTCCCTGCCTCCCTGCCTGAAGGCAGTGACTCAATTTTGTCAAGCTGGACTTGGTATTAATTAACAAGAGGAAATGATATGGCCCTGCCAGCTGGTATTAAGGTCAGTGAGTATGTCAGACAAGTTCACCAATGCCCATTAGTTCAAACAATGAAGTATTTACTAGATGCCAGGCTTATGCCAGGACTGAGACCAGACAGGAGACTGCCCCAGCCTGCCTGCAAGGGGCTTTGCCTGCAAGTCAATCACACCAAGTGGCATGGGTTACCTGCTGGGCAAAGGCTAAGGGAAACATTTTCTGTAAAGGGCCAGACAGTAAATATTTCAAGCTTGTCCCAGATACTCAACTGTAGTGGGACACCAGCTGAGGCATTCTGTAAATTACCAACGTATTCCAATAAAACTTTACTTATGGTGAGGTGCGGTGTCTCACACCTGTAATCTCAGCACTTTGGGAGGCCGAGGCAGGCAGGTCACCTGAGGCGGGAGTTCAACACCAGCCTGATGAACATGGAGAAACCCCATCTCTACTAAAAACACAAAAAATCAGCCAGGCATGGTGGCGCATGCCTGTAATCCCAGCTACTTGGGAGGCTGAGGCAGGAGAATCACTTGAACCTGGGAGGTGGAGGTTACAGTGAGCCAAGCACCATTGCATTCCAGCCTGGACAACAACAGTGAAGCACCACCTCAAAAAAAAAAAAAAACTTATGGACACTGATGCTCGAATTACATATACTTTTCACATGTCAGTTTTTTTCAACCATTTAAAAATGTAAAAAGTCGCCAGGTACAGTGGCTCATGCCTGTAATCCCAGCACTTTGGGAGGCGAAGGTAGGCGGATCACTTGAGGCCAGGAGCTCAACGCCAACCAGTCTGGCCAACATGATGAAACCCCATCTCCACTAGAACTACAAAAATTAGCCGGGCATGGTGGTGCATGCCTGTAATCCCAGCTACTCAGGAGGATGAGGCACAAGAATCACTTGAACCTGGAAGGTGGAGGTTGCAGTGAGCTGTGATTGTGCCACTGCACTCCAGCCTGAGACACAGAGGGAGGCTCTGTTTCAAAAATAAAAATAAGAATAAATAAAAGATTAAAAAGCATTTATAGTTTGCAGGACACGTGAAAAGAGGAGGCCTGTAGTTTGCTGACCCTGTCCTAGACCAGCGCTGGGGCTGAGGGCAGGCAGGCAGGCAGAGAGAAGGCTGCAAGGCGGTGGGGGAGGGGCAGAAGCATGTTTTGCACCCTCACTGTGAGCCAGGCATAGTGTTAAGGCACTTGTTTACTTACTGAATCTACATAACAGACAGGAATGATTAGCTTCTTTTTACAGAAGAGTACAAATCCAGAAAAGTTAACAAAAGTGCTCCAGGCAGCTCAGCTGGGAAGGGGTGGAGCCAGGAATTCACCTAAGCCTGTCTGAATCCAAAGCAGCTCCGGACAGACCACTGACCTATCTGCCTCTAATTAAGACTCCAAGACTGAGCAGGAGGGGCCCTTAGGAATGAATTGATCTTGGCCTGATCTCCCAGGGGAGGGAGCCGAGGGGAGGGAAGGCCCACATATCCTCCGACCTCCTCAGCTTAGACCTCACAACCTCTAGAAGCCTCTGAGGGCCACTCAGCACCTTGTACATCCTCACGACTCCACAGGGATCAGTGATCCTCTGGGACAAATGCTCAATGCTTATCTCCCAGCAGGCTTTATCTGGGTCTCGGCTGCAGCCCAGCACTGCACATGGGGGGCTGATGTGTAACACCTGCTCCGCTGACATCTCAGAGAACAAGTGAGATGAATGTCCACTGCCTGACACTCAAGACAGTTGGTTCTTGGAGCACTTATGTGTCAGGCACTGGGCCAGATGCTGAGGATATAGTTGTCAGGACCACACAGCTGTGGCCTTCCAGAACCTCGGTCTGGCCCAGTGGTTCTCAAGGCATGGCCCCCAAACACCAGGCATGGTGGTGCAGACCTGTAGTCCCAGCTACCCAAGGAGGCTGAGCAGTAGGATTGCTTGAGCTCAAGGCCAGCCTGGGCAACACACCTATCTCAAATAAATAAAACATTTTAAAAGTCGAAAGTAGACCAGCAGCATCAGCCTCACCTGGGAGCTGGTTAGAAACACAATTTCCAGCTCCACCTGGACCTCATGACTCACGAACTCTGAGGGTGGAGCCCCAGCCATCCCAGCGTTAGCCAGCCCTCCAGCAAAGACATACAGGCTCAAGTTTGAGCATCAGTGGCTTAAAAGAGGAAGCAGGCAGGGCGCGGGGGCTCACGCAGGTAATCCCAGCATTTTGGGAGGCCAAGGCGGGCAGATCACTT